CTTCCATTGCCTGGATTTCTCACGCGCATTCGTGGCGGGGAACGTGTTTACGAACAGGCTTTTCGCATACAATTTTATTCCTGCTCTCCGTTCGGCGAATTTTAATTTTCGCAGCTGTGATACGGAGCGGCTTTAATTATCTTAAATTAAATTATGACTATTCTAACAGCGTCAACCTCTGTCCCGATCGGGAAATTATTGACTTCTTAGTTTGGACCTCGGATTATAATTTCAAATGGCACACGATTTAAGGTCTCGTTTATCGTGGATCGGGAAAGGGCACGAGATAGTACGGGGCAGTACGACTTCGGTCGACTTGTCGGGGGATGTAAGTCCCTTGTACCGTATAAAGAAGAGGAAACGTCGACAAACCCACCCCCCACCTGCCCCTCCTCATCGCGAAACGAGTAACCCGCTTTACGATTCACGGGACACGACCGGGAAACGCTGCGGGGCGAAATCTGCGAGACGTCGGAGGAAATTTTCCGGCGTCTCCTCCTCCTCCCCCCCCTCCCTCGTCCCTCGTTCCGCCACTCCTCTTTGCTTTTCCGCGCTTTTCGCCACCCCTTCGCACTCCTTCGCTTCTACTTGCTCCGCGCTGCTTTATGATCTGTCTGCTCCGAGCTCTTCTTCCGGCGTGGCGCGTCCTCGAGATCGCTCTGAATTTCATTGTCATTTCGTATAACCTGCCGAGCTCTCTCATCGGTGCTCCTTTGAATTTTCTCTCCCGAATCCGGCTTGATTCGCTCGTCCCCGGCGCCGAGGAGGTGTCTCGCGTCGCTCGTGAAATTTGCGTATGTCGCGGTTATCGACTCGTGTTAATTTCGAAAATGTGGAAACTCGCCGGGTTATTTCGAGCATCTATCCTCGATTGATTCCTCGATATATTTAGATTGATGTTGCTACTTTTGAAAGCCGGCATCGTATAAATTGACGTTTCAGTTAATGGTTAGGTCGACTTTGGTGGTTGATTTCTCTTGAAATGTCCGCTGCCTTTGCAGACGAAGTTTTGCGATATGTTAAGACGGACGTCTAATTTAATTTGTTGGGCAAGAAAGTGCTGTAGAAGTAAGATTTCGAAATTTCTATTCCTTTTTGAAACCTTGAAAAAGTATTTTATTACACTCGGAACTATAAACTGCTTAACAATAGCATCCGTTCAGCCGAATATATTGTACATGCTCCATTATTAATCGTTTTTGCAAATTCATAAGTATGTGCGTGAATTCTCGTCGATATGTATTAAAATATTATACGTCACACACTGGCCGTATTTTTGGGCTCGATCGACCGCCGCTATATTTTCCCCGGTATGGTGTTATGTTATCTTTTCGCCGATTTGCGCGACTTGAATTAGAAATGAACGTAATTTATCATCGAATAGACGGTTATTAGACACTAATATAGTGAAGTAATTTAATTCGATTTTCCGAATTAACTTATATTTTATGAATATAGAGATACTATTAGCTGTCATAGATTCTATCAACCTCTATGTTTGGAGCTCCATGCTTTGGAGATTTTTTTTCAGCATTAGTTTGGGCATCAGGCCTTGGCTAGGGCATTATAAAGATAAAATAAGATAATAAGGTGAAGTAATGCCCACTGGGCATTGTAGGCATTGGTGTAGGTACATATTTATTTCGGCCGATTTATCTTGAGATTTTGCGCCGTTTAGAAAAATTCGTCAAATAGTAATTCGTCATTTGAAATACTGCATAGTAGTGTGAAATTTTTTCCTGGCTATTTTTCATCTACTAATTTGTAATCGAGAGGTAAACCACTGAGGGCATTGTGGTGTACGGATTTGCGGCATTACTGGGCATTTTTTTAAGCATTAGTTTGGGCATCAGGCCTTGGCTAGGGCATTATAAAGATAAAATAAGGTAATAAGGTGAAGTAATGCCCACTGGGCATTGTAGGCATTGGTGTACATATTTATTTCGGCCGATTTATCTTGAGATTTTGCGCCGTTTAGAAAAATTCGTCAAATAGTAATTCTTCATTTGAAATACTGCATAGTAGTGTGAAATTTTTTCCTGGCTATTTTTCATCTACTAATTTGTAATCGAGAGGTAAACCACTGAGGGCATTGTGGTGTACGGATTTGCGGCATTACTGGGCATTTTTTAAGCATTAGTTTGGGCATCAGGCCTTGGCTAGGGCATTATAAAGATAAAATAAGATAATAAGGTGAAGTAATGTCCACTGGGCATTGTAGGCATTGGTGTACATATTTATTTCGGCCGATTTATCTTGAGATTTTGCGCCGTTTAGAAAAATTTGTCAAATAGTAATTCTTCATTTGAAAAATTTTTTATTTTGAAAATCAAGCCTTCTAACTTCCTACCGATTCTCCCACCTGTTAATTCCGTCCGAAGTTACGTGATTTTGTGAGTTAGAAGGTTTTCTAATTAAGCCGACGATCCGCATATTTGGAGCGAGTCTTTATAAGCAGCCTTTTTTTTTAATTACAATGATACATGCATTACGAGATACCTGGAAACGGATATCGATTATCATGATAAAATGTAGAAGGCTGGTTTGACTTTTGTAATTTATACGTTTGTAAAAGAGCACATAATTTAATATTATGCAATCTCTCATCTATGAGCGTACGAAAATCGTTACGCAAAACTTGTTCTTTTTCTCCGTTCCCTTCGACGGCTTCTCGACGAGTTTTCCCGGCAGTGGCATACAGAGGCACGAGTTGCTCGAACTTTAATTCGGTCATCCACCTTGTAACGGGTTCTCCGACTCGGCTATAGCTTGAAAACTAACTTCGCCGGTGGAGAGACGGTGGCCGAGTGCGATTCGGTCGAGATAGCGAACTGTAGTCGACAAACAAGACGGAGCCATTAAACTTTCACGATAGAAATTTGGCTGTCGTTAATTCAAATCAATCTTGACGACGACATTTTCGATCGTCCATAACTAACGTGGCGTTCATCGCACAGCCGAGAGAAATGCATATCTCATAAATAATACGACGAATCGCGGAAGAGGCGCGCGCCTCTTCGTCCCTTCACCCGCGAAAACGCGAGCTGATGTCCGATCGCGAAATTATTTAACATCAAGAGTTCAAAAGCGCCGGCAAAGTAAATTGGGAAAAAAAGAAAAAAATGTTAATCGGCGAAACTTCAATGAAAATTTGATGGAAATTTCATTTCAAGCTTAATTATAACTGGAATGTTAAATGTCGGCAGACGATGTATGACTTTCAATGGGATCTGAAAACTCCGCCGAAGAGAGATTTGCTGCGTTACTTACGAGCGCAGTTCGCATAAATTGACATTTAACTTTCAACGATACTTTCGTTATCGCTAAGGTATAATTGTATCCCCTTCCCAGCATGCATGATATAACTAGTAGGTCCACTCCGTCATTTGTTTGGTTTTGCGTCGATTCGTCATTTTTTTTCGCCGGGCCAATGAGAGAAAAGTCGTATGTGCAGTAGTGTGTGTAGTGTAGCTTTGATTGATTAGATAACAATTTTTTTTATATAAAGTCGACTAGCATAGTCTAGATTTTGCTGCGTACTTTAATTCCGTAAAAGAGTTTTGCGCTTCTATAAAGCCAATTAAAAGATTACTTCTAACAAAGAATATCGGTGAAACAGACGGTTTTAGGATCCCCTTAAGGCTAATCCTGATTAGCTCTCGTAAGCAATTCAGCAGGAAAAATAGTATCGTGTGCAGGTGGCTTTATACTATGCGGCGTGCGACGCAAAAAGAAATGGCGTGTCACGCGTGTGCGCGCACGGTAACGAGTTCGATATCACGACGATGTTTAGCGACTGCGAGACCAATAAATTAATGTCAGCGCAAAGTCGCGAACCTGGCGCAATTCGTCGCGATTTAAACGTCCTTCGGAGATCGGCGTGCATCATATTAAAGGATCGGCGACGTTTGTCTTACGCGGTCATTACGTGGCTTATGCACGGCAATCTGCCGCTGCAGCAGAATTTCCTCCGAATCCCGGCAATTAACGTGCTACTCTTGCGACGGTGGTTTCGGGACGGCAATTGAATCCGCCGTCTCGGCAGGGAGAAAGCGGGACGGCAGGGGAGGCGTAATTGTAATTTTGTCACGACGAAAGTTGCCTCGAGTGCAGCGAGATGCAACTGTCCCGAGGACGCGTCCTCGCGTCGCGCTGACGTGAAAAATGCGTTTTCTCGACAGTCATAAAATGCACGCAGATGTTCCTTCGCTGCTGCAACGCCAGCAGCTGAAGAGGGAGCGCACTTCGAGACAAAATTGTAATAAAATTTCTTAGAGAGAAACGTTAATCGGACATTATTTGTCATTTCATGATTGGCCACTTGATGACTGTCCCGATTGAGTTTAATGGGCCATTCGGACGGGATTAAGTTAACAGCCGATTGCTCTCCGGAGTCGCACGAGCACGGCGCGCCGTATTATTTTGCGCTTATACGGCGAATAATACGCGTCAGTTGCGGAGAAATCGCGTCCGCGAACGGAATGCCGCGCTCCGATATATTCGCGCAGCCTCGGCGAAGCGAATCGACTCGATTCACGTAACTCGCTGTTTCTCCGCCGGCTCGGCCGATGCGCGGGGAAAAGGATCTCCTCGCGCGATGTAAAAATCCTCGGGGCTCGATTAAATGAACGTGAAATTGCCGTTTGCAGTGTATTATTACCGCGTTGCGGAGTGCGAGGCCGCTAACGCTTCGCGCAAGTTCGCTCCGCCATTCATGCTCGAGTTTACCCGCGCGATACACGCGCAATGATGATCTCGGACACGTGAGACTTGCGCGCGGAGAGCAACGGCGAAGCTGCGTTCGGCATTGCTAAATCCGAGGTGTCGGAGCGCTCTTTCTCCATTTCTATCTCATCCACCTCTCTCGTTCGCTCGAATGCAAAGGAGCAGCACTCCGACGCCCTTGGGTTTACAATGCCGAACGCAAGCTGAGTTTGGCGAATCGTCGCATTTTGCCGAGATCTGCGTCTAACGTTCGTTGTTCATCTCGTCTGTTTCAGGTAACTTGACGGAAAATTATGAGATGGCCGCGGCAACGCAGGGCTTCTGACTTGCTCCATAGGTACAGTTTATTATTAGCCGTAAAGGGCAGACACGCGAGACGAGGTTTCCTTTATACGAGTCCCGTAGCCCCGGCCGTACGATACGCCCGCTCGGTGTATCGGCTGTATTAACCTGCGACTACGTGCTCGTCGACCGTTACAGCACGATACGGCGAGCCTTGAAACCCGCCGCGCGCTTCCCTACCCTTTGCCCTACTTATGAAACCTCGTTAACACAAAATTGTGCGACGTATGTGCGCGCCACGCGATTGCAATTTTCGTTACGAAAGAATTTCATTATTCAATGAAGCCCGTACAGACCGGTATTATTCTGTTTATTACAAAATAATCCAATCACTAATAATTAGCAATTCAATTGGCGCTTCTCGTCTCGTTAATTTTCCGCGAAATTATTGCATGTTCGTCGGACCGTCGCGCGATCGTCTTGAAATTCGGAAGAGGCTGCCGCCTCGCCGCCGTCCTGCGGGATTCGATTCTTCAAGACGCGTGTGTCTTGTAGCAGTGTCTCCCAAAAGTTTACAATGTCATTTACATTTAATTACGCATAATGAAGAAAAGTCGCAGAGGGGCTGCTACCCCTTTCCTCTTTACCTTCTCTCTCTCTCTCCCCCTTTCTCTCTGAGGTGACTTTAAGAGCAAACTCCATGTCTTTTTACTCCAGTAGGGGGAGGGAAATCATCTTGAGTCCTCGCAGGAGTTGTCTTACTCCTGCTTAAATTTTAAAGTTGAACAACGTCGATGAAACTGGGCCCAAGTCCCAGGGCGTTCAGTAAATAACGATTCCAACGATTCTCTCTCGACTCTCGTTCCTTTTCCCACTGACTTTTCCTGCGGTCTTTCTGCGCGGAAAAGTGACGAGTACGCGAATAATGAATACGCGCGCCGGATGATCATCAGGTTGCAAATGTGCGACAATTACTCTCTAGTTTCCTATCTTTTATTTTTTCGTTGCGACGCCGGCGATACGGCGAGAAAGGGAGAACGAAGATAGAACTGGGACGGATGCGGATTAAACTAAATGCAAATATTTAATTAAATCCACGAGGCGGCGCATACCTAACGGCGACGGTTTATGAGCGCTAGCATATAATTTCTTCTCGGAAAGTCGCAGCGAAAGTGGAAGCGGACGCGGCTCGGCGCCGATAGCCGCCGGGGCTGGATTCCTTCTCAATTCGAATCGGAGGAGCATGCGTCTCGCGCCGTAACGCAATTCGCGGACGAGCGGTCTCGCTTTTGATTAATCACGCGCGCGTCTGTGTTCCATTCGTTACTTTATTTCATTTTGCCGATAAACACGCCGTGAAACGCCCGAATAACATCAGAATAGGGATTTAAAACTTTACATTTTAACGAACGATTAAGCGTCCGCGGCGAGGTGATAATAATAATGATATGTAAAGTAGACTCTATACGGGGCGACACGATCGGGAATTTGCTGCAACTGAATAGCCGTTATTTTTAATGAAGCTTTTTAGTCGACATTAACCGGCCAGTGTTTTTAATAACAGAAAATTTATCGCGAAAAATACTACCTCAGACAGGGTTTGAACCTGGACTTTCCGTCTCCCTAGGCGGGCGTCTCCCCGAGTCGAAATTTTGGTCCTATGTTGAACCTTTAATTCTATATATTATAGTACGACCTAAGACGGTAAAAGAGGTCGAACTGCAAGCACAAAATTTACTCCTACTTAAAAACTGATAGTGTTGGAAATTTCTACTTTTGCCAATTTAGCATTAAAGTAGGACCTTTTAAGTAGGAGCTAAAGTAAATTTTTAGAATTAAAGCGTCAAGGGGGGAGTAAAAAAATATAATGTCATCAAAGTAGGTTATTGCTGGTCTATATAGGTGTATAGGTGGAATTTATCCCTAAAAGTATCAAAATAGTATTTTTTGAGATATTCAAAGCAACATAGAAATTGTGTCAACTTAACGCTATCTCGACAATTGTTTGTCAGAGAGAAAAGTGATACAGGACTCGTTTTACTTGATTCGGTCTCAAGAATATGCTGCCCCAACTTATATAAACACTGGCGTGCACATGAAAGTTCCAAGGAGATTTCAAGATCATCAAGTTAAAATGGAACTCTGTAATGTAGTAGCAGATTATATGCATATATGCACGAACTTCATTCAGTATTACTCGCGAGCTAATTTTTTATTAGCATAGCGTAAACGGAATATATTTATACGAACCTGTAAAAATAAATTATAAGGGTCAGCAATCCGGAACCGTGCTGATTGCACGGTTCAGCGATATGTTTGCGAAATGCTAACCGTTTGCACTTGCACAACAATCGAAGCGATTTTGAAAACTAAGTACACCTTTTAATATTAATAACTGTAATTGTGCTTTCAACAATTCTAGAAAAATCTCTTTTACAGAAATGACCGCACGTACCGACATTTTCGAAAATTTAACCCTCAACCGGGTGGAGCCAGTTAAATGTTGTTTTTTTTTAATAATCTGTTTTCACAAGTTCATAAATATAAGTGTTTCTTAATATCACGAGTCCACTCCACTTCTAAAAATGGCATGTAAGTCGATTAGTCGCATATCTTGAAGTATTGTTGCCGCTTTTCCGCGATGCTGATTGGCTGTCTCGCTTGTGCGATACGACATGCTTCAGTCGTGTTATTTGCAGCTGTCAAACCATACGAAATAGAGAGAGCAAATGGCACGCGCTTGTCCCTTACTAAAAAAGAGATGTTACTAGTGCGAATGTCGTTAATATCGAACAGTTAAGGCCCTTCTCCGCGATGCCGATTGAATTTCTCGAAGCGCGATGTGCTTCACTTCTCTTTTAGATTCAGAGTAAATGAAGGTTTACAATTTATACATACTAGACATGACAGAACGCGCGCTTCGCGCGCGCTGTTTGTAGTCAAGCATTGTGTATTTTTAAGAATTTGTACACACGCGAAGAGAGAGAGAGAGAGAGAGAGAGAAGTAATTATATGCGCAACGTCACTTTAAAATAAAAAGTAATATATCACTCACTGATACGAGTCGCAACAGCAAAGTTGTACATCGCTAACTATACAGTTAAACTGTAACAATACAAAAATGTATCCGATTATTATAGACTAATTATGCAAAATCGAAACTATTGTATTAAACATACTTTATATTTTATATTTTAAAAAATGGGTATTTATTAAAACAATTATATAGAATACTGAAAGTCTTCCTTTTAAATATGAACTCACAAAATTTTATACGTATGGTTTTGTCTCTAACACTTATTCGAATGCTCGTTGGAATCATTTGAATATTATTAAATAAAATAAAAGCACAGAACAGATGATTCATTTTTGCACAAGTAGCAAATAACAAAAATGTAAGACATGTACCTTACGATTTCTCTGCCGTTGCCCGATGCCGTCTAGGCCTGCTCCTCCTCTCAGATTTTCTTGTTGCACTTACACTCACAGCACTTACTCGCGAAAATCGATCGCGCGAAATTTCGGACACTCCCGTACGCGATGTAAAATACCGTGAAATGCAGTAAGCGACGTTCTTTACTTTCTGCCCGTTCCAACTGCAAAGAATGACAGAGCGAATTACGCCGTGAACGCCGAAGTCGCACAAATTTCTCTCCCCGAAAATGGAACAGATTACACGAAATCGATAGATAGTTAAAAGCGCGGTGCGTAAACGAGATGTAACCGCGACAAGGTACCACGGTTTACATCCATGTTTTAGATGAGTTGGTCTCGTGAAATATCTATACATATACACGTTGATAAAGAGCCGTCGCTTCAACATGCAATTTGTTTCTCATTACAAGTTTTAGAATCTTAATAATTAGTCGAGTAACGTTACTTGTCACTGATAAAGGTGTACAAATCAATAGCGTTTTATCCCTACATTCTTCGCGATCGAGTCTTGGAAACCGGTAACGTAAAAATAATATCACGCACGGAACAACTCTCGCTGCTGCCTGCCGGCTCGACGTTCGGCGAGCGAGTGATAAGTACGGAATTTTCTATTACGTAGATGGGCCAACGAATTCTCAACGTTTTTTTTGTTGTTTTTCCCTCGGCGCGGCATCGTACAACGTCACGCGGACCATTGTTTACACCAAGGTCGCCGCGCAGTCACTCGCCGAACGTCGAGCCGGCAAGCAGTGGCGCGAGTCGCTCCGTGCGTGCTATTGTTTTTGCGTTGTCGGTTTCTAAGACTCGATCGTGAAGAATGTAAGAATAAAACGCTATTGATTTGGACTCCTTTATCAGTGACAAGTAACGCTACAAGATTAATTATTAAGTTTCTACAACTTGTAATGAGAAACGAATTGCGCGTTGAGGCGACGGCTCTTTATCAACGTGTACATGGATATTTTACGAGACTAACTCATCTAAAATATGAAAGTAAACCGTGGTACGTTGTCGCGGTTACATCTCGTTTACGCACCGCGCTTTTAACCATCTATCGATTTCGTGTAATCTGTTCCATTTTCGGGAAGAGAGAGATATTCGTGCGACTTCGGCGTTCGCGCTGTAATTCGCTCTGTCGTTCTTCGCAACTCGAACGGGCAGCAAGTAAAAGGACGTCGCTTACTGCATTTCACGGTATTTTACATCGCGTACGGGAGTGTCCGAAATTTCGCGCGATCGATTTTCGCGAGGGAGTGTGCGAGTGTAAATGCAACAAGAAAATCTGAGAGGAGGAGCAGGCTTATAGCCGTATCACACTAGCGGTTCGCGTTGGCGTTGCCGTTGGCGTTGCCGTTGACTGCTGCGTCTCGACCAATCAGAGAATAGCAAAGTATTCTCTGATTGGTCGAGACGCAGCAGCCAACGGCAACGCCAACGGCAACGCCAACGCGAACCGCTAGTGTGATACGGCTATTAGGCGGCATCGGGCAACGGCAGAGAAATCGTAAGATAAGTGTCTTATTTTGTTATTTGCTAATTGTGCAAAATAAAGCATCTGTTCTGTTTTAATAAATACCCATCTTCAAAAATATTAAATATAAAGTATATTTAACACAATAG